AGAGAGTGACTCTGCCAGGTCACTGTGGGTTGTCTGTGCCCCTTCAACGAAAGGCACCGCTTCTATCAGGCAGCCCTCTCCACTCAGCTTCCTCTCCACCTGGCTTCCTCCCTTTGGTTCTCAGGCCACACTCCCACAATGTCACTAGCTTTGGGGTACTGCACCATCCCTTGAATTTTCCCTTTACCCTGCCCAGATCTTCGCAAACAGTCTTTGTACTAAAATTTCCTCAATTACCCAATTACAAGTGAGCCGTTTCCTGCAGGGACACTGACTAATATAAGGCAAAGGTGATCAGGAAGGGTGTCAGGGAGGTGACAGCTGAAGGTGTTCTTGCCTGGACAATGATCTTTCTAAACCACAAACTGACCACACGTCACTTCTCCTAAAACCCTTCATGGCTCCCCATTGCTCTGTGGATAAAGTCCAGATTCCTTAGCCTGAGCACCCAAGACTATACACCATCTAGCCCCTGATGACCAAGCAGCATGTGGTAAAGTCACTCAGAAGGGGGACAGTGGGGGGCTTGGAAGGGGAGTGAAGGAGTCCCAGGAGGGGTGCAGCCGTGCCATGAAGCAGCCCTGGCTGGCAAAGTCCTGGATGGGGAAGGAGGAGGCGGGTGAGTTTCCGGACCACAGAGCCATGCCACAACCTCTGTCCTCCCACCCTCCCACAGTGCTCGGTGAGCTGAGCACTGTGAATGTGTTTGACCCACAAGCCCTTGTCTGGAGCATGAGAAGTGGTTCCACCCCAGCCCCAACACTGACATCTGAGAAGCTCTTCAATTCCCCAAGCTTCAGTTTTCCCAACTGCAAAACAGGAGTAACCTCACAGAGCTATGGGGGAGCTCAAAGGAGGGAACGGACGGGAATTTGCTCTTGTCAGGTGGTTCCAGTGACAGGGTGGTCCCTCTCCCAACCTTGTGAGGCAGGAAAGCATGTGATCCTGAGGTTCAGGAAGGCTTAAATGTGAATCCAGCTTAACTACTCACCCACTACTATCCTGGACAACATACGTCTCCATACCTCATTCGCAAAGCGGGGTGCTAACCTCCCCTTGCAGGGTGGCTGAGGACTGGGTAAGCTCACAGACCAGGGTCTAGCATGGAGCATGGAGCTGGAAAATGTTTGTTTCTGCCTTTCGTCCTGGGCCTCTCTCAGGGCAGGCATCCCTCTGACACGCAGGCCGGCCACTTACCCTCCTCATCCGTGCAATGGAGGGGCCGAGGCTGCCGTCCCTGTGAGGAGTCTCAGAAGGGCAAGTGTCCAGCCCCTCACAAACCACAGAGCTCCACTCATAATGCCTAACGGCACCACAATACTGGTGACTGAAGGGGGTGGTGGGACGTGCCACCCTTGGTGAAGCCACCCTGGTCAAGCCCCGCTGGGTGGCCAGACTTGACCTCTCTATCTCTGGTTTGGCCAAAGCACCGTGGGCTTGGCTGGGAGATGATGAAGGAAAGGTGACCCAGGTCCCAGAGCCATCCTGCTCTCCCACCAGCAGGAGGGGCAGGAGAGGCCATGACAGACAGGAATGGAGGGATGTCAGAGCATCTAGGAAAGGGGCCGGAGAAGTCAGTGCCTGGTGTGCCCCCATGCCCACCTCGAGCAGGGGAGAACAGGTCCAGGACACAGAAAGCTGCCGAAAAACTTCCTCTCTGGGCTGCTCTAATGCTGGGATTGATCTTCCATCCAAAGCCAATCTGGACCAAGCTGCTTAAGCAGTAGACATGGGTGTGGCAGCTGGCAGCCAACGAGAGGGAGCTGTCACTCCGTGAAGTGGCCCAGAAGCAGGCAGCTGTCCTCCCAGCCCTTGGACTTGCCTCTGCAGCCTTGGTGGATGTACCCACCTGTGTGTGCAAAGCCCAAATTGGGACCAGAGTTTATTGCCCCATTCCCCAAGCCCCCATCTGCACACCGCCAACCCACCTGATCTCTCGAACCCTCCAATCTAATGAAGGCACTCTGCTGCTCACACCCCTTGTTTGATCTGATTCCCACAGGATGAAGCCCCAGCTTCTTGGCGGGATTACAAGGTCCTTCAGATCTGGTCCCTGTCGACCTCTCCAACTTCATCTCTTACTCCTCCTCTGCCTGCCTCCCTCTCCCAGGCACACCAGAACGCTCACGGTTTCCCCCTCCAGGCCTTCACCCAGGCTGTAGCTTCTGCCTGAATGCCCTTCTCTTTCCTCTCTGCCTGCCAGAATCGTACCCATCATCTCAGGTCCAGAGGCAATGTCATCTCCTCTCAACCTTCCCAGTTTACCACTCCCTCCTCTGTGCTGCCACGGCACTTCGTCCATGACTCCACTGTACGAGCTGCTATGCTGAGCCAGGCCCGCGCTGGAGCCTAGTGAAGACGTTCCTGGCCCTGGGAAGCTCCTGGCCCAGCAGAGAGGCAGACAATGCAGACAGACGGTGACAGCACAGGAGGGAAGGGCTGACCTCAGCACAGCCTCACACGTTTCCCTGCACGGCAGCCTGGCCGTCTTGCTGCAACCCCTGGCTTTGGGACACCATCTCTGGGTTGGGTCTCCTCGAAGGCAAGTTCTATGTCTGATTACCTTCTGTGTCCCAAAGAGAGCCTGGTCCAGGAAGGTGAACAAGAAAAATGCGAAGTAGATGAGATTGGGATCTGAATGTTTCAAAGAGGCCTTGGTGACCTAAAGTCTTGCCATTTAAGATAATAATATATCTTACTTTTCATAGCATAGTGGTAACACTATGATTTCATTTGATCCTCAAATATTCAAATGAAGTCAGCAAGATAGGAAATGTCATCTCCATTTCATGATGCAGAAACTGAAACCTAGGCAGGGTTAGTGACTTGTCCAAGGACACTTGGCAAGTCAGTGGTAGCGGAACCCCCAGAATCCAGGCCTCCTGACTCCCAGTCCAAGCTCTGCCCCAGAGATCTTACTGAGGTGCGTGGGTGGGCCATGGGTTCTAGCCCAAGGCCTCCTCCACAGGAGACCCCTCTGGAGCAGGCACAAGCCACATACTGACCTGGGGTCCTTCCAGGCCAGCGGGAGTCTTGCCTCCAAGAGGACCCAAAACACCTCTGGGGAGAGGACTCAAGATTTCACTAACACCTTCAGTGTCCACCTGGCTGCATTCCTCTTTCCCCAGAAATACGCCACACCTGTTCCTACCTCCCAGCCCTTGCACATACTAGCTCCCTAGGTCCCCCACTCACCTGGTAGGCCACTAGCTTTCCCTCGGTTTCCAAAAGGCACCAAGCTCTTTGCAGCCTCACAGTCTCACCACATGCTGGTCCCTCTACCTGGAAAGCTTTTCCTTCTACTCTTTGTCAACTCATGCCTTAGGGCATAATGACACTTTCTCAATGAGGTTTACTCCTGTGGCCTTGAGAGGATTGAACAAATGGAAGTGTTTCTAGGTCCCATCAATGGCATCTGTCACAAGCTGCCTGGCACCGTGACTTCTACCAACTCCCCCTCCCATCCCCCCACAATAGATGGTCAAGACCTGAACAGCAGAGACTCCCTCTCCTCTTATGCTGTGACCCCACCAGCAGCTTATTCAAGCTGTGCCCAAGAAATCTGTCTTCTCACTGACATGCTTGTACCCGCACCCTTTCCCTCATGCTCCACATCCAACAGTGACTCCCCTACATTCCAGCAGATCTCACCTCCTCCTCAATTTTCTCTAGACCAGGCCTTCTCTCCATTCCCTCCACCACTGCCCCTAGCTTAGGGCTCATTCTCTTTCACCTGGGTCCCTCCTGCAGCCTTCTCAGGGGCCTCCAGCCTCTCCTGTCCATTCCCCACGCTATGGCTAGAGAGCTCTAAAAACTAATCTGACCACTGTCATTTCCTTACTTAAAGCTATCCCAAGAATCCCACTCCCACCTCAATGTCTCAAGAGTGGCACTCAAGGACGTTCATAAGATCAAGTGCCAGCCTCATTTCCCACAGCTGCCTGGGGTCCCGCCACTCCAAGCACCCTAGTCCTGCCCCAAACATGCTGAGTTTTCTGAGACTTTACGTGTGTCCTTCTGCCTTGCCCCCACACCCTCCATCTGCAAAACTACTCATCAATGGGCAATAAAAATAATTTTGGAACACTTTCTGTGTGCCTGGCACTATGCTAGGCTTTTTTCATACTTGACCTCACTCAGTTCTCAAAGTACCTCACAAAATCATAGTTATTTCCGTTTTACAGATATGGAAACTGAGGTTCAAGAAAGGCAGGGCCAGAATGGACTCTAGGTCTGATTCCAAAGCTGCTCTGGAAAGTGCACCCCGCCCCCAGCCCGAGGCAGGGGCCTCTCTCCTCTGGTTCCAAAATAGCTCCCTGGCTTCTCTCTTGTCCCAGCAGGTGTGTGGTGTCTCTGACGCCCCCAACTCTCACTAACGTGAGCATCCCAAAGGCAAGGCCTGGGCTGACCTGGCAGGGTCCCCAGTACTCGGCAGCGTAGAGATGCTCTGTGAGGTTTCTTGATAAACAGGTGGGAAAGGCAGAGGTGGGTAGGGGGGTTTAGGCGCCCAGCCATAACCCAGTTAAGCCGGATACCACCAACCGGAGGACGTACCTTAGCGTCTGTAGCCAACGTAAGGTTCTGCCAAAACGAAAACACAACCCTCCCCCCATGCGCCCTGCACGTCCTCGGCCTGCCCTGCACGTGCTCAGTTTCCCGGCCCACGTTCCAGCTGCCGGGCCGTACCAATCTCCGCGGGGGAGCGCAGAGGGGGGACAGAGGGAGCCGCAGGAATTACGAGGCGCGCCTCCGGGAATGAGGACTCGAGCTCACAGGCCTCCCGCACGCCGCCCGACCCGCGCAGAGCAGGGCCCCCGGCGGCGCCCCGGCCCGCGCCGAGCCGAGCCCCGGGCGCTCTCCCCCCGGAGGAGGCGCGGTGGCCGGCGGCTTGGAATGGCCGGCCCGCCCCCGCCCGCGTCGGGACCCGCCCCGTTGTGAGGTTATAAAGTGCCGCGCTGCGAGCGCGGAGTGCCTTGGTCGCCGCCAAGGCTGTGCTCCCGGCTGCTGCTCTGGCCTCTCCGGGCCGCGCGCCTCCGGCTCACCGCGCGGTAGCCTCCCCCGCATCGGCGCCGTCCCTGGGCTTCCGTGCTCCGGGCGAAGCCCTGGCCCGGCGGCCGGGGCATGGGCAGGGGCGCGGGGTAAGGCGGCTTCCCGCAGGGGCGTGAGTGCAGCGGCTTCAGCATGAAGACCCTCATAGCCGCCTACTCCGGGGTCTTACGAGGTGAGCATCGGGCCCAGGCCGCACGGAGAGAGAGGTCTGATGGAGGATCTGGGCTATCACGTGAGGGGTCTGGGAGATGAGCTGTCACCGCTGAGGGATCTGCAGGCTTAGGGGCTTTCATTCTGGTGTTTTGAAGCTGCAAGAAGGTTTTCAGGAAAGGATGTGATGAAGGGCTCAAAGGCAGGCAGGAGTGTGTTCTTACGAGAGTAGTTGCTGGAGGACTGGCCACCGTGCAAGTTGAGGTCCCAGCCCCTTTTCTTTTGGGGAAGCTTGCCCCCTGCGCCACCCCACCCCCCACCCCCCGACCCCCGAAATCTGGGTCTGGGATGAGGGAAAAATAATCGTTACCTAGTTTGATCCAGGGAGCCTGGCACGGTAGTCAAGTCTGGGCTCATTCTGCACTCTGGCTGTCGTCAATTTTTGCGACCTCTGTTACATCACTTCCCTTGCCCCAGCTTGTTTTCCTCATCTATGAAATGAGGGTGATACCCCCCACCCTTCTCGGTAATTGGGGCTATTCTGAGAACTCCTCTCCAGCCCCCACCATTGTTCTGGCCCCCTGGCAGTTCCCTCCCGTCTCTCCTCGCCAGGTGGAGCAGGCTGTGAGAGACTGGATGGGGCGGAGTGGCAAGGGTTTTGCAATCCCATGAAACAGCCGCCAGACGGGGCACATGCCTGGCTGGGGCAGGTGTGCCCACGCTGTCCTCTGCCCATGCCAGTCTTCCAACCCGGGCTGGGGAGCCCATGCAGCAGCAACTGTGAGCCTGGCACACTTAGAAGGTGGGGCACAGGACCCTGGGTACCACCCTGTGTGAAACTGAGGCTCTCAGGGAATCAGAGGCAGAGCTGAGATCCAACTCCAGAGCTTTTCCCACGCAAGGAAGAGCATCCCTTCCACACCCCACACCTACAGTCGGAGAAACAGACGGGAGGAGGCATGACCTGCCCAAGGTTTCCTTAACAGATGCCTTGGCCGGGGGATTAAATACAATCTCCAAGACCCTGGGAAGTCATCACAGCTGTCCTGGTCTGTGTGTCTGTCTTGCTTAAAGCCTCTTTCCCTCCTCTTAAGTCTTTATTCTTCCTCTTAAGTCTTTATTCTTCCTGCTGAACCTCGCCTACTTAGGATTTTTCTTTAGTAACTAACATCGCCTACTCCACCCACCTCATTATAAAAATAAAACATAACAATTGTCAGAATTTTGAAAAATATAGCAAAACAGGAAGAAAATAAAAATTGCTAGTAAATCAACTATCTAAAGATAGCTTCCTATTAGCATTTTAGTATATTTCTTTATAATTTTATTTATGCACATTATGTAGATGAAGTTGAAGGCATGCCATAGATATCGTTCTGGGTCCTGTTTTCTCCCTCTTAGTGGTACATCATGAGTATTTCCTTCTGTTAACAAAATCACTTATAGTATTCTAGTGGCTGCAAGGTAAGCCACCCTGGAGCTGTCACGCAGTTTACCATGTCCCGGGCACTGGCAGTGGTCCCTGTGTTACTGTCGCTGTGATTATCTGCCCTTCTTGGTCTGGGTGCTGCTCATTGCCCTTGGGGAGGTACCAAGCTGCTGTCACCATCTTGGGAACAAGCATCCTGAGCTGCCCCATGCACCTGGTCCAGTAGCCTCTGGCGGACCCTTCTCTCACTTAAGAGTACTCTTCGTTCGCTGTGCCCTTTGATGCCCCTGACAGAGGAAGGAAGGGTCTCACCCACGTTCATGCTTTTAAAGATGCTGTTGTCTCCAGGTGATGGGATAGGGGTGCAATCTGTGCTGCTCCTTCCCAGAGACCCCCTTCCCTCACCTCTGTGGCCCACAGGCTGCAAGTGGAATCTTCCAGGAGCCAGTGACCCTGACTCGCACGTTTTTGACCTAAACTTTGTTATCCCCGAGGACTTCTAGTGAATGATTTTGACCGGGTTACTTAATATCATATCAGGAGCATTTCCCTGTGTTGTTATCAGATCTTGAAAACCTTTTTTGTTTTTTTACTGGCTGCAAGGAATTCCATCATGAGATGTAGCAAGGGCTGGTATGAAATGCAAGCTAGTCACTTGAGCTCTCTGGGATCCACTTTGGTGAAAGACTGGGTGGGGTGGAGGAGGGTGTGGAAGCAAATTTTGTGTTATCTAGACATCTCCGTTAAACCTGCTGTGTACATCCTCGGTGTTTGAAGACACTCCCCAGTGGCCTGGTTTGCCTCTGTGGATGAGGTTCCACTGTAGTGAGGTGGTAAACACCCTGTCAGTGGCGGTATTCAAGGAGAGACCAGGGATTCTGTGAAGGGAAGGCCTGTAATGGGTGAGAGGTTGATTCTTGGTGTCTGGTGTCTTGGCCAAAAGAAACGGCCAGCTGTGGGAGCACGGGTAGGTGGGTGTCTGTTGGGGGAGGCGGGAGTCTATATGGATATTTTCTAATGTCTGAAGGACTATCCTGTGACGGGGTGGAGGCTGCAGAGTTAGTCACATTTACATCCCTGCCTTTGCCCTTGGACAGGAGGCTCTTCAGGTCAGAGCCCTCTGACACCTGCCCGTGTCCCCAGGGTTCAGCACAGGACGCAGCCCAAAATGGTGGCAGCCCCAGTAAAATTCGGAGCTGATTTGTTCTGTGTGGTTCCAAAGAGCAGAGCCAGGAACAGGTGTGGGATTGTAGAGGGGCAAGTTTTGATGTCATGGAGGAATCCTTTCTAACATCTGTTGAGGACTGCAACAGGCTCCATGTGGGCGGGTATGGAGCTTCCTATCGTTGGGGGTATGCAAGCAGGAGCTTGGTAGGGAGTGAAACTAACAGACTAGATTGTTGGAAGATGACTCTGGAACTGAGGGTCGACAGTCACTAACTCAGTCCTAAATCACAGGATGAGAACATCACTCTCATGCTCCATCTCCCCCAGTTCTTTGTAGCTTTCCCCCTCCCCTACACCACTTCCCCACCTGCACAGAGGCACTTGGGGGTTATCTGTGCTACCAAGGGCTCTTCTGGGCTGGGAAGGGCTGGGAAGGGAGGGCCACGAGTAATATTTTATTAGCATACTGCGTGACTCAGTGGCCAATGTGGAAATCCTGCCCCACCCCCAAATTCAGCAGCAAGTCCTTGAGTCATAAAATCATAGCTATCTATTAGCACTGGATCTGGCCCAGCCCTCGTGTTACAGATGGGATGCTGAGGGCCCCAGAGAGAAGGGACTGGTCCAGGGTTATCCAAACTGGGGTTAGAACCCAGATCCATCTCCCAGTCGGTGACTTGCCTCCTTAACCAAGAGAGAAGTGTGAGGAGGCGGTGAAGGGCTGGGCACAGGGCTCTGGCCATTGTAGTTGCTCAGCAGTTTTCTGAATGAGTGAAGGTTGCCCCCAGTCTCCATGATGGGGGTGGCGCATTGCCCCTTCCCAAGCTTTTTGAGGAAGCACCCTCAGCTTGTGCTGGTGGATAGGGATACCATGAGCCCCCAGAGCTTTAAAGCCAGGTGAACTGCCATTCCCCTCATCATACTTCAAACCTTCCAGACTCCTTGTGGCCCTGAAGCCCCCTGTGAGCAGCCTCCACCGCCTCACAACCTCATCTCCCACCATGTTTTGCTCCAGAAGTGCTGGTGGTCTTCCTGTTCCCCCAGCATTCCCGCTGAGTCAGTCCTACCTTAGGGCCGTGGTGGGTGCTGCCCTCTGCCCAGATCTTTTCATGGCTGGTTCTGATCTTTCAGTCTTGCCTCAACGGCCTTTTCTGACCGTGCCGTCCGGAGAACCGCCTCCTGGTTGCCACATCTTGTTTTATTTTTTATAGCCCTTATCATTACCTCAGTTATCATGTATAGTTATCTGTTTAGGTCATCGTCTCCTCCATAAGAATGTTGGCCCCTTGGGAACGGGGACCTGATCCGTCTTAGTGTTATGTCTCCGGACTTCCAGCACTCAGTCAATATTTGTTGAGTGAATGACTCATTAATGGGACCTCAGCCCTCCCAAGAGTTACCCCGTCCTCTAGGCAGGAAGCCCTGCTTTTAGCTTCAGTGTGATTCCTCGATCCTTCCTCAGGCCTCCTCTGTGCCTGCCGGTGCTGGGGCTGCAACTCCCTGCCCTGGACATGCCCGCAATCTCGTGAGGAGCCAGCTGCGGAGTGGGGTGCCAAGTGGGTGGAGCCCAGCTCATCATGGTCCCCCTTATGGCTTCAAGGACCTAGAAGCCAGAGAGCCAGGATTCCAGCCCTGGCTTCCCTCTGGGACGTGGCTGGGCGGCTCACTCCCCCTATCGGGAAAACAGGATCAGAAATCTCAGACTCGCAAGAATGTGAGGGTTTGGTTGAACATGAATGGAAAGTATTTTGTAAACTAACGTGACACTCAAGTTAGTTCTTGTCATTATCCTGTGTGACACGTGCAGCAGGCTCCCAACATTGTGGAGAGTGGTAGACTCTGCTCTGGGGCATCCAGGAAGGCTTCACCGTGGTGGGGACATGGAATGTGGGCCTGTCGGTTTATTAATGGAGCACCTTCTGTGTGTCAGACTCTGCTGCACACAGGTCCATCAGCGCTGGCCCCTGCCTTTGAGGAAGTGAGATTAGGGGGAAGTATACAAGATGACAGTGCACAGTGATGGACGCACTGGTAGGGAAGGAACACGGGGAACTGTGGAGGCCTGGAGGGGAGGTTGTGGCAGCTGAATCATCCTGGGGTCAGGGAACTCTTCCCGGAAGAGGTCACATTTGGTCTGCATGTTGAAAAATGAACAGGTGTTCGCAAGGCAGGCAAGAACATTCAGGTACAGGGAACAGTGTAAATGGAGGCATGAGGTTTGGGTGGGAGGGGCAGTCTCACTGTAGGGCCTCCAGGAAACTAAACTGGGCTGAGGTCTTGCCAGGAACAAGGGAGGCAGAGGATGCTGTATCCAGGCCTGGGGTGGCTACCTACGCCCATCTTGGGGGCAAGATTTGAGAGCTCCTGGGAAAGGAGCCTGGTGTACTCAGAGTTTCTTGGCCTCCACCACTTCTGGGGCTTGCAGG